AGGTATTATGCCTCCTCTGAGGCACTGAGGAGGGTAAGCAGTGTTAGGACTCAGGCAACGTTGGAGGAGCACTCCTAACAAACACCGAAACACTCGGTGCTGAGTCTGACCAACCAGGATCAGATACAGATCTTAGGGCCACCTCCATGTACAAAAAATTTAGCCTGGCTTCTCTGTCTGTCCTTGTCCAAGTCTTTAAGTCTTTGCAGATCTGGCAATGATCCTGAATATGAACTTCTCTAAACACTTCAAGTAGTTTGAGTTTGGATCGCTGATGGATGTCGACCTACCACAGAGATGCAGGGCTTGAAGCCTGGTGACCAAGGCATCCCTTGGTACTGAGTAATGGAAAAAAACAAACAAACCTGGGGCCAAAAGGAAAACTTACACTACCCACATTACCCAAGTACTAACCCTATAAATCTAGAACAGTATTTCCTGGTGTGCTGTCAGGCCTGAATAGGTGCGCTGTGACATTTTTTAAAAAACTAGATGAGAGAACAAAAAAAGTTGCTTATATTTTAATTAGTGTTGGAGCCAGATCACATTCTGTACTTTTGCTCTCTAGGATTATGCCCCTTTCAAATATTATGCATGAGTCACATTCCATTCCCCAATGCGAGATTAAGATAGCAAATCTGAGTCCTGCGGAGTGGGGGCAAAGGAAGGGGAAAGAAGGAGGGGAAGCTGCCTTCTGATTGGCCATCTGTCACACTACCCCATCTCCTTTGGGGCAGAGCAACCAATCAGAGCTCAATCTCCCTCTCCTTCCCCCTCCCCTCCTGTGAGCAATGGGTTGGCTCTTCTGCCCCTCTCTGCAGCCGCCGGCCAAAGGTGGTGGAAGAGCCCCTGGAGCTGCCCCCCCCCGATGGGAAGCAGGGACCCCCGCTGCAACCACTCAGGATTGGGAAGGGAGTGGGGAAGAACACCAGGAGAAGCAGATGTGAGGCAGGGGGGCTGAACTGGAGGGTGGGGGCTAGGTGTGAGGTGGAGGAGCCAGGGGCAGCAAAACTGGTGTGAGGTGGGGATGGGGACAGAACTGGTGGGGGAGCTGGAGGGGCAGAAGTAGTGGGGCAAGGTGGGAGCGGGACTAGCGGAGGGTGAGAACTGAAGTGATACGGGGTGGGGGGCAGAAGTGATTTGGAGACTAGCAGCACAGAACTGATTTGGAGGTTAAGGGGCAGAATTAATTGCTGGACAGGGAACAGTTAGATGTAGGATGAGAACTCCTGCAGTAGGACCAAAATCCTCATACCTAATTCATTTGGGAGCATGGACAGCTCTAACACACACTCACTCTCTGGGGAAGGGCGGGGCAGTTCACAAATCGGTAGACTGAAAAAAACAATATACTCTCTTTGTAAATAACTACATGTTTTGGGGGTCAATCTTCTGATTTGTTGAGGTCTGACATTTATTTTTTGATTTCTAGATATTGGCAACTCTGAGTGGGACTTTATATTGCATTTAAAAATAGCGGAGAAAGTTGGGAAGACTATTTTGGGAATGAGAAGAAATGATTAATTATTAATTGCTTGTCATCCCAAAATATTATTCTCAAGTGTGTGTCACTTTCTCCACTGAGCATGCTTTTGTCAGAGTTCTTATATTTAGCTTTAATGTTAGTTTCCACTCTTGAAAATGTTAATTCTGGCACAAAAGACCGATCACGACCTAATGTTAGCTGCCATGATGTTTTGATTTTTAACCCTATTAGCCTCGTTCTGGATTGGCTCATGAATATTCATGAGACAAAATTAGGAGTGGCCTATGATAGACGCAATGTTATGCTACGCTCATATGAACTTGAGTTACAGGAGTCACATGGTGGTGTGTTTTTCAAATCTTACAAATCTCAAAGTTATAGTGATGAATTTTGAATTAATGACCCAAAAAATGGACAAATATTTGAAGAAAAAAGAAGATTTTGGTAGTTCCACATCTACTTGCAGTGATAAAACTGAACACGAAACAAAGAAAGTTAAAGTGGTGAACCGACACTTCTGTGAGACCCATCTGCAATTTGGATTGCCGTCTATAGGAGAACCATCTTGCTCTCTTCCAAAATGTCTTGTGTGCAAGGAGAAACTCTCAAACCATGCCATGGTGCCACATAAGTTAAAACAACGCCTTACAAGCAAACATTCATCCTTTGCCAAAAAGGACATAATATTTTTTAAAACGTTTGAGGGATCAGCATGAAAAGTAAACGCGACTGATGACAGACTGCACAACATTTTATGACAAAGCACTGGAAACAAGCTACATGATCGCTGAGCTTGTAGCAAAGGCAAGAAAGCCACATACAATCAGAGACATTAATTTTACCAGGATGCTAAGAAATCAGGAGAATAATGTTAGGTGCACATGAGTCAAGGAAATTGAAAAAGTTCCCCTTTCAGACAACATGGTAAGTCGCCTCACTGATGACACGTCAGGTGATACTGAGATGATGCTCCAAGAAAAATTAAAATCAAGCAGAAAATGTAATGTAAAGTACGTTAATGGAGATACTATCAAAGAAATTTTTTTGTTTGGCAAAGAACTACCAGGTCACACGGCTGGAGAAGAAATATTCAGTGTGACAACAGTCTACCTTGAGGAAGGAGAACTCCACTGGAAAAATTTTATCAGTATTTGTACTGATGGGGCATGCTCCACGATTGGCAAAGTGAAGGATTTGGAAGCAAGGTCTGGGATCAAAACCCAGATATGTTGGTAGCTCACAGTTTCCTGCACCATGAAGATCTCGTCGCTGAAACACTGCCAGAAGAAGTCTTTAGTATTAGATGGCGCAGTAAAGATAGTGAACTTTATACAATTGCAGCCCTTAAAATCATGCCTTTTCTTCTTGATGTGTAAGGAAACAGGAGTGGAACACCAGAGTTTACTTTTGAAGTATGCTGCCTTTCCCATGGAAAAGTTCTCTCATGCTTGTAAAGCTGAGAGGGGAGATCAAAATGTTCCTAACTTCTGAGAAATCAATGTACATGGACTTGATTGCTGACATGACATGGCTGATATATTCTGCCACCTCAATGAACTGAACAGGAAAATGCAAAGTAGAAACAAGGATCTTCTCTAGCACAGATAAATTGCACGGGTTTAGGTCTAAGCCAGGGGTGGGCAAACTACAGCCCACAGGCTGCATTCGGCCAGACAGCCGTTTTAATCTGGCCCTTGAGTTCCCGCTGAAAAGCGGGGTTTGGGGGTTGCCCCGCTCTGGCTCCTACGCATAGGGGCAGCTAGGGGGCTCCGCTCCACACACTGCCCGCACCCCAAGTGCCGCAACCGTAGCTCCCACTGGCCACGCCTCTGCATAGGAGCCAGAGGGGTGACAGGACGCTTGGAGCCTGGATCTCTGAGCTACCCCCCTACACCCCAACCCCCAGTCTGATTAAATGTTTTTTTTGTTATTTTTTTTAAATATATATTTTATATATATTGTGGTCACTCATCACAGACTGTGAATCTCAGCATGCATCATTGCTTTATTAATCGAATTTAGGGCAGCATTTTGGAGTTCCATTCCCCATCAGATAGTGCGAGGCTCAGATCTCTGACCTAGAATTTGGCATTTGATGCTGCTCACTTCTAAAGACATACTAAAAAAGAAGTACCTCAAAGATAAAAAGGTAATACCATAAATCTTGATATATAATATCGTTAGTTGAGGTTTCTTGATTGGTTCAACTTTTGTATTATTTGTTGTTCCTCATATAATAAAAAAAAATTATTTGGCATCTTGATGTGAATGTGTGAGTCAACTGAAAATACTTCTCACAGTCTGTACAATATAGTTAACGATGTTAGAATGTAACATAGTCTGTACAATACAGTTAATTGTGAATGGCAAAGGTGGGAATCGGCTCAAACCGAGACAATAAGAGGCAGAGTTCATTTGGAGACAATATGGTGGTATGCCTCAAAATAATTAAAGGTGTGCTGCAGCAGAGAAAAGGTTGCAAACCACTTATCTAGAAAACTATCTACAATTAATTTACAATGCACACAAATACTAAGAGCACTTGCTAAGGCAAGCCAAGTGATTCCAGTGACCATCACAAGAGGTAAGAAGGAACTGATGGAGCTATGGCAGTTGAGCCCTTTATACCAGTGCACAGCAGCAGAGGGTGCTCAAGTCACCCAAACAGGTACCACTAAAGGAAAAAATTTCAATGATTGTGCACGGGATGCACACATACCAAGAGGGGAAGGCACATGTGAAATCACTCGAAGAACAATGACCTTGCTTAAATACAGTATCATTTATACATTATACATTAAATCTCACCAGGAAATCTTTAGTGCATGCCATCAGGGTTTACATGGACCAACTAATGCACAACACATTAATACACTTTAGAAATCACACCCCTCTACTCAGCATTACTGATCTGTGTAGACAAGCCAGTAGACACATATTTCCAGTGTCTATTGGATAAACAGTGATTTATTGATTTGCATTGGGGTGTTTTAACAGTGTTAATCTGTTAAAATCAGAAGCCCTATTTATATCTTATTTTATTTGTCTCCAAGACTGAAAAACTCCTTAGGGCAAGGACTTTGTCTTTCTGTGTTTTGTGAAGAGTTGTGGAGTCTTAGGGCATTTTAGAAATAACTCCTTATGCTTCCCATACATCATCAGCTTCAAGGCTTGTGTACATTTCTCAACACTGCCCTACACATTATTAATGCTTCTGCTAAACAAAGATTAGAACACTTTTAAAAAAAGTTTTGGTCACAAATGTCCACTAAAACCAGATCAGTTTAAGGCAAATAAGGTTCTATTTGTAATAAGTGACTATGTGATAAGACAGACCTGTATTTATTTCAATAATTCTGACATGCGGCAAAGTAAGCAGCATGTTCAAATATAAATGGTTTGCTATTCTGTGTTATCTGTGGATATCAATAGATAAGCGAAGTGAGTCATGCTAGTGAAATGCAGGTCAAACCTTCCTTACTTGAGATAAAAAATGCTCAATGATTTTTCTTACCTGGTCATGCATTAATGTTGCAAGATGAGTTGTTTTTCCCCCAGGTGCAGCACACATGTCCAGAATTCTCTCTCCTGGCTGAGGGTTTAAAACATGGCTTACAACTGCAGAGGGCAAGTTCTATTATTAAAACAAAAAGTTTGAATTAATGCTTTAAAACAGTTCTATTTCAGGGATAACAAACGAAGGGAATATATACTGAAAACCATCTCATCAATCAGTGAAGGCACTTATATTTTTGTTGCTCTCTCTAGTACAGAGCTTGAATAGTTTCAATTTAAATACTTCATATTAAGCGTATAACTATATTTCACTTTACATCTCTGGTCGCTTTTCTCCTAAACTTAAGCATTAACAATTGAGGTGCTGGGCATTTCCTGGGGATTCATGACTAAGGCAACTATAAAGCTAAATAAAACAGGATGATACTGTGACTGACTGTGGCGTTGCCCTGTAATACTATATTGACCTGGTCATTAGGATGTTTACTGTATGAATGTATTTGTTTAGCTTAACGGAGGGCTGTAAAGAAAGCAAGTAGGAAGTAGAATAATGGCTCAGAATAAAACACCCCTCAGCAAACATTTGAGGATTTGTATGGAACAATGGCAGAGTTGTTAGCTCTGGAGTCTGCCTCAATCTCCTGCAGAGCCTAATGACCTGGTTTTGAGAAGCAGGGCTGAAGAGCAGGAGCTGACAGAAACAAAGGAAATCTGACTGGATACAAAGTGCCTCGGGCTATGTCAGCATAATTTATGTTGCTCAAGGGGTGTAAATAAACCACCCCCCAAGAAACATAAGTTACACCGACATAAGCGCCAGTGTAAACCGTGGACTGCAGAGGTGGTTTTATTATGCCAATGGGAGAGCTCTCTCCCATCAGCATAGAGCATCTTCACCAGAAGCGCTGTAGCAGCGCAGTTGCACTGGTGCAGCTGAGCCTCTGCATGTGTAGAAAAGCCCTCACTCTCTCTATGCGGGAGGCTAGTTGAGAAGCTGAACAGCCAGGCTGACACTCAGCACCCACTGGAGTGCCTGAAGAAGTTAGACCTGCCTAGGCCACCCTTAGGGATAGCAAGCCTAGAGACAAGATAGATTTGTGTGTATACCGTTTGTTTTAAAATCCCTTTTCTCTAAAAGCTTTGTTCCAACTGGTAAAATAAACCATAAGGTGGCTCTCTAGTCACTATATACACACCACTGATCACAAGGGAAGAATCACAGTCAGAGCTGCTGTACAAGCACAGTTGATACACAAGGTACAGTAGTCCAGGAATGGTATGGAGTGGGAGAACTGGAATTCCATCTGAAGACAGGTGAAGGCAAGAAGCCTGACACATGAGGAGGCATGCTCAGAGAAACCAGGAAGGAGACAGAGATGTGGCTTGTTTTGGTATAGACAAGGTGTTTGCTGATTAGCCAATCAGATTCCTTCATCTGAATACTAACCAAAATTTAATTTTTTTACAAATGTAAACTACAGCTCCAAAGCTAGAGCTCCAATGCTAACATTAGATCTCAAACACATGGTTTAAGGCATTTGCAAGCAGGATTTGCACTGCATTAACAGAGTACATGTACTAGGGAGAAGAGAGGGTTACTCATCTTGCGCAGTAACTGAAGTTCTTCGAGATGTGTCTCCCGTGGGTGCTCCATTTTAGGTGATCGAACACTCTAACTCCAGTCGGAGAATTTCGACAGCAGTACCTGGCTGGGCTGCACATGTGCTCTCCCCGTCTTGCAGCAGTTGATTAGCGCCGTGCAGCCCCCCCCCCCCCAGTTCCTTCTCTTCTGCAGAGGACTAATTAGAACTCCAAAGTAGAGGGGAGGAGGAAGGGTAGGGGACCACCCACGGGACACACATCTTGAAGAACCTCAGTTACCGCACAAGGTGAGTAACCCTCTCTTCTTCTTCGAGTGATGTCCCTGTGGGTGCTCCACTTCAGTGCACCTCAGGTGAAAGGAGTGGATCGGAGTTAATTCTGAATGGACGATAGGACTGGGCTATGTGGACCTTTGGTCTGACCAAGTAGGACCACTCTTATGTGGAATGACACCTCTTGCCTATCCTTATGAAGTTTAGGGAAGAATGTGGAAAGATGGATTGGCTGGTTGAGGTGAAAAGAAGAAGAGACTTTAGGCAAGAATTTAGGGTTGGGGGTCTCAGAGTCACCTTATTCTTAAGAAAAATCATATATGATGTGTCTGCCATAAAGGCCCCTATTTTTCCGACACACCTTGCTGATGTGACGGCTACTAGAAAGGCTACTTTCATGGAAAGATGTAGTAGCTAACATGTAGCCAGAGGTTTGAATGGGGCAGTTATCAGAGATCGAAGCACTAAGGTGAGGTCCCACAGAGCAGTTGGGGCTCTAGGTTCTGGGTAGAGGTTACGAACGCCCTGCAGGAATTTTTTAGTAGTTGGGTGTGCAAAGACCGAAATGCCATCCACCTTGTGGTGGAAGGTTGTAATTGTAATGAATTCATTGAGAGACCTGATTTCTTAAGGTAAAGATGTAGTCCAAGACTATGGGCAGGGTAGAAATGGTCGCTTCCATTTGTTTGTTTAGGCACCACATGTGGAATCTCTCCTCCATTTGTGGAGGTATGTCGAGTGTGTAATTGTCCGTCTGCTGTTTAGCAAGACTCCTTAACTTCTTTGGAGCAGATCATCTCCTCACCTTGAAACCATTGAGGAGCCAAACTCTCAGACAGAGCATCTCCAGGTTTGCAAAGTTTGGCCTGCATCCTGAGAAAGATTTGGAAAAAGTGGAAGGACTTGCGGTGGACATGCTGACATCTGTTGTAGGCATGGATACCATGTTTGCCTAGGCCTTGCTGGAGCTAATCAGGATGACTTTGGCTGGATCAGATCTGATCCTGTGTGTGACTCTGGGCAGTAGTGGGATGGGAGGGAAGGCATCCAGGAGAGGTGCATCCCATGTGATGAAAAATGCATCTCCTATGGATTTTGGTCCCAGACCCACTCTGGAGCAAAACATTGGAGATTTGTGACAAATAGGTCTATCAATAGGAATCCCCGTTGTTGAAATATGTTCTAAATCATGGAGGTGTTTATTTTCCACTTGTGGTCGTGTGTGAACTTTCAGCTTAGAGCGTCTACCACGATACTCTGAGATACCAGTAGGTAGGTGGCTGATACGTTGACGTTGTGTTCAATGCATAACGTCCACAACTTTATGGCCTCTGTGCATAGGGAGTACGATCTCGCTCCTCCCTGTCTGTCCGTCATGATCTGTATGGTTTTGTTTTCAACTAGAGGCATGAAGTGCGCCCAGGTATTATGAACTGTTTGCAGTTTCAGAATGTTAATGTGGAGTGTTGATTCCAAAGGAGACCACTGCCCTATGCTATGAGGCTGTCTAAGTGGGCACCCCATCCCAGTAGGGAGGCATCCATGGTAATTACCATTTCGGGACGCGAGGGGAGGTTTAGGAAGGGGATGCCTGTGTACACGTTGTGCAGGTGAGTCCACCACTGTAACGAGTTCTTGAACTTCACTGGCATGCTTAGGAGTTTGTTCAGTCTGTGTTTGTGTGGAATGCACACTGTCCTGAGGCAAGCTTGCCTGCAGCGCACGCTTAGTCTGGCATGATTTACAACATGAACACCTAGTAGACGAAGGCAGGTCACCGCCATGTGACCTAGCTGACGAAGGCAGGTCCCAGCAGATACTTGTAGACTGTGTATCATGGTATCGATCAAGTCTGTCAGGGCAACAAATCTCTGAAGTGGTAGTGATGCTTTCGCCTCTATAGAGTGTAGGTAGGCCCCAAGAAAGTCCAGTTGTTGAACTGGTGTTAGTGTTGGCTTTTGAAGGTTTATTTACAGACTGAGATCTATGAAAAGTGACATTGTCTTTTGCATGGCTTTGACGGCTTCTTCTTGAGCGTGAGCCTTGATCAGACAATCATCTAAATACGGGTAGATCATGACCTCTTGCTTGTGTAGGTGGGCCGCCACTACTGCTAGAATTTTGGAAAACACTCGAGGGGCCGTGGAGAGACCAAAGGGTAGTATCGTGTATTGGAAGTGGTCCTGTCCCAATACAAATTGGAGGAATCACCTGTGTATTGGGTGCATGGTGACGTGAAAATATACATCTTGCAGGTCAAGGGTTGCAAACCATTCCCCTCATTCCAGTGCAGGAATTATTGTTGCTAAAGTCACCATCCTGAAATGTGTTTTGACGAATTTGTTTAATTGTATTAAAAAATAATGAGAATAGAAGCTCTTCCCTCCGTGTTGTACTGGCCTTGGTTCTACCGTGCTTAGTTGCAGAAGGTATTCTATTTCCTGTCTCAAGAGTGACTCATGAGAGGGGTCCCTGAAGAGCGACAGGCAGGGAGGATGGAGAGGAACTGGATGGGGTAGCCGGTCTTAATCTCTAGTACCCATTTGTCAGACATGATAAATACGCCAGAATGGGTTAAAGGGTACCAGATGGTCTGTAAACAGATGGTTGGTGGAGTGTGGCGTTAGCGACAGTAGTTGGGGGAGGTCTGTCAATCCCGTGACCAAATCTTCAAATTTGTATTTTGGAGATGGGATGCTGCGATGTGGATGGCTGTGAAGAATTTGATCTTCGTTTGGGTGGTCTTTGAGGATCATACTGACTCTGGTTCTGTGTGTACAGAGCTTAAGACGTTGTGACGTAGAATACTTGCCCTGTTTGCATTTTCTTGTAGGTGTATAGATGCCTCGAGATCTAAGAGTGACTCTCAAGTTCTTTAAGGAGTGAAGTGACTCGTCAATCTTCCTGGAAAACAGCTTTGGACCTTCGAAAGTAAGATCCTCTATGGTTGATTGCACCTCCCTTGGAAACCCCAAGAGGTGCAGCTAGGAGTCCCAGCACATTACTATGGCAGTTGCAATGGTCCTCACTGTCAGCGGAATCCAATGTTGTCTGAAAGGCTGTTCAAGATATAAGGTGGCCTTCAGAAATGAGTGATGCAAACTGCTCTCTTTTTTCCTCTGGTGTAAGTTCAATAAAGTCTGCTAATTTTGAATATGTTGTGTGGGCATATTTTGCCAAGAGAGTTTCATAATTGGCAATTCTAAACTGCAATGTTGCTGATGAGTAGGCCTTGTGGTAGGCC